TTTGATATTAATTCTAGATTTGATCATTTTATTAGCAGATAGAAGCCTTTTTTATTTTTATTCTTTTATTTAAATATATAATATTTTTTAATAAATGACACTGTGGCAATATGACTCTAAATATGATCATATTATATATTTGTATAATATATAATATGATCTCAAACTAAATAATTATGTTTTTTGGTATAAAATTGAACAAACTGAAAACCGATGGTATATAAACCAAATCAAACTGAAGTACATATAGATTTAGAATAGTAGTTATATTTTAATAATCGAAATACCAAAAAATCGGACAAAAAATTGAGCCGAACCGAAACCCGATATCCGGATTAAACACCTATAATCCGAATGAAACCGAACTATTGTTTCATTTTTCAAAACATAATAAAAATAATAGTTTCATCCCGCGCAAGGCGCGGGTCTTATCCTAGTGATATATGATTCCTTATGTCCACAATTTTAATTTACCCTACTAATATTATCATATATAATCATAAAAATGTATTGGGGGTTAAGTTCGGGTTTATACATTTAAAAAACCAATAGTAATAAATATTAAAAAAGTTTTAAAAGCGTATAAATTAATAAAATGTTTAATTTTATAATTTTTAAAAATAAAGCATCATTAATTGTTTAATTATTAACTTTAAAACTAAAAAGTTATTAAATATTTATGTAAACATATTTTAGTCAAAACAAAATGTATATAAAATTAGTAAATTTTATATTAACTATAAATATTATTTAACATAATATATTTTGAGACGTTAGATAATTAAAAAAAATGGAAGGAATATGATATATCAAGATAAAAATAAGTTCATTTGCTAACAATCAAAAAAACGTTGACTAAAACACGTAGATAAACCATAACCAGTAAGACGCACATAAGCAGGTAGCAAATTGTTCGGCACTCAACATGCATCGTCCCAGCCACTAACATTATAAATCAGAACATCCGAATCTGTTTCCTCATAACGATCAGCATGGAAACGTTGACTAACGAAACCAATGAGCTAAGATCAGAGTTTCTCCCATGTCAAAGATCAGCCAAAGGTTTCTTGATGAAAATTTCACTATCTTCTCTTTAATATTTGTATATTTTCTCATTACTCAATATATTTTATTTCTTGCAGTTCTTGTAAAGAACTGTATGTTGTTTCTTCTTGTTTCCAATCTCCTAATCACCAGAGCTATGGAAACGCACAAAGCCGTTGAGTTTCGATCTAAGTTTCTCCATGTTCTTCTTAGTCGACGATCAGCCCCAGGTTTGTTTTAATGATTATCTTCATAATTAATCAGGGAGTTAAATGATTATATTTTGCTTAATGATGTTATTATAATCCAAATCTTGGTTATACAGTTCCATTAGTAGCTGAGCCTTCGAAGCCAGTGGCAAATCCTATATTTCAAAGTGATGTTCCATCTACAGCTGTGAGATATTATTACTGATAACTCTTCTTATATTATATAAATACACAAAAGGAAAAAATCATTTTCATTACCAAACCAGGCAATAGAGTCTTCTCCAAAGGCACACATGAATAACTTAAAAGGTATGCTTAAAGAGGAAAACCTTCATTTGCACACTGAGGTAATAATTTATTTATTAACACTTCTCTCTTGTCTTTCTAACAAGTTTCTGATCATTATTTTATACTCTCTCCATTTTATTTTAGTTGTTGTTTTATGTTTGTGCACATAAATTAATAAAATATTTAATTTGTCTATTTTCAAAATAAAAACATAATTACAGATACACATAACCACATTTCAACCAATAAAAAATAGAATAATGTATAAAGTCACTAAAATTTGATTGAAATTATAAAACGACAATTATTTTGAAACAAAAATTTTATATTACAATAACAACTAAATTGAAACGGAGATAGTATGTACTAACATGTTGTTTATGTAATGTACTAAGGCTGGAGAGCAAGGAAGATTGCCTTTGCTTATTTTAAGCTTGAAGGAGAAGAGTGTTGAAAGAAGACCAGCTGTTGTGTTTATGCATAGCTCAAACGCAAACAAAGAATCGTTAAGGCCATTGCTTGAAGTAAAAAAAAAAAAAAAACATTTTAACTTGTGCTTTTGCTTTCTTCTATATTAAAAGTTTGAAGAACGTCTTTGCTTTGCTTTGCTTTGTAAGGCATATGCTTCACGGGGATATGTAGCCATTGGTTTAGATTCTCGTTACCATGGGGAACGAGCTGACTCCAAAACTGCCTATCAAGATGTAATGTCACTGTTTATGATTCAATCATCTATTGATTTTTCTTTAGACTTTTGAGTTCTGACATGGGGTTTGATGTGAATTTTAATGCAGGCTCTTATATCATCTTGGAAACATGGAAACACAATGCCTTTTATCTATGATACTGTAACAACATTACTTCTACTTATCACCATTTTTTTCATTTTCACTTTAGAACTATTGGTCCACCTCCAAATTTTAAAAACCAATATACATAAGTTTATGGTCCTAAATTGTAAAAATAATGGTTAAGATTTACACAAAAATATTAGTAGCTTCTTAAATCTCGGAACCGGCCCTGGTAAGACATTATTATTGCATATTATACTGTTGATGTTTTTGTTTTTCAGGTTTGGGATTTGATAAAGCTAGCTGAATATCTTACTCATCAGAGGAAAGATATAGACCCACAAAGGATAGGAATCACCGGTATTTCACTAGGAGGTCAGTCATAGAACAAATTGAGTACCAGAATTTGTAGCTATAAAACCATTACTAACTGATCATTTTGAAATCAAACACAGGGATGCATGCTTGGTTTGCTGCTGCAGTTGACACCCGCTATTCAGTAGCTGTTTCTTTAATTGGTGTTCAGGTACCAACTTATCCTTAGCTAATCCTTTGTTTCTATTAACTAAATACTGATAAGCAGCACAGCAACTGCGTGTACTAAACTAATTTGTATGAGAATGGTTTCCTACTTGAGAAGACTCTTTTAAGTTTATATAATGTTTTGTATGTTGGTCAGGGATTCAGATGGGCAATAGAAAATGACGCCTGGCAAGCAAGAGTCGACAGTTTAAAACCTTTATTTGAAAGTAACACTTTTAATAACACACAAATATGCATTAAGATAATTGAGTTATTGGGTTTCTTATTCCTTTCTTTTATACTTTCAGAAGCAAGGATTGATATGGGGAAGAGCAAAATTGACAAAGAAGTGGTAGAGAAGGTAAGCAGCATGGCAGGGAATATAAGTTCAGATTATAACTCAAATGATTGGTTTGTAATTGTATACATAAAAATGAAACAGGTGTGGGACAGAATAGCTCCTGGCCTAGCCTCTAAGTTTGATGCACCCTACTCGGTACCAGTGATTGCTCCACGCCCTCTTTACCTCCTCAACGGTGAGCACAGAGCACTCTCTACAAACTTACAAAGAAAAACAAATACTTAGATTTCATTTGCAGGCGCTGAGGATCCTCGCTGTCCTCTTGGTGGACTAGTTGTTCCGGTGAAGAGAGCTAAGAAGGCTTATAAGAAAACTCCTGGAAACTTCAAGGTACATCACTGATCTAATCTATAATTCAAAATGCAACGAGATGCAATGATCTGAAAAGTCTTTTGGTGTTTGGTTTTGAGAGAGCAGTTCGTAGCAGAAGATGGTGTTGGACACACAGTGACGAGTTTCATGATCAAAGAAACATCAGATTGGTTTGACAAGTATCTTAAACAAAGAAACATGACTTTTGGTTAAAACTAAGGCACATGATCATATGTAACAGAAAAATAAAAATTGTAAGCTAATAAATGCATGTCCATAAGAGACATTTCAAAAATTGTAAGCTAATAAATGCATGTCCATAGACAAAATCTCCATACTGTTTTGCAGGTTTTGATTCCAAAACATAGATCATGTCCTGCAGTTATTAGTAATAACATATTATACAACCTTTTAGTTTAGTAGTCTAAAACCAAAAGCACCAGTGAACTTGAGATATGGAAAGAGTAAGGAGAAACATACCTTGTTGATGTAGAAATCAATGTCTGCATTGGAGATGATCTTCTCATCAGAACCAACTGAATGAGTCTTGTGCTTGTATGTTAACAATATGGTCCTGCATTTATATTAGTAAAGATGTCAAAGACAAACAGATCGATTTCTGGTTCAGTCTGGTTAAGTAATTCGGTTTGATCAAGCAATTAAAAAAAAAGGTTTTTAGATCGATTCAGTTATTGGTTAACTCGGTTTTCTCAAAAAAGAATTTAACTAGACTATACCGATCTTAACCAAAATTCTGAATGAACTAACTGACCTTAACCTAATTTTCTTTTTGAATTTTTAACCAAATTAAACTGAAATTTAACCAAATTCACAGAAGAAGATCGAGAACCGAAATTAGACTTTGGCACATTTAACCAGGACTAAAGAACCGAACCGTACCGAATAGAAAAAAAACTAAAAAATAAACCAAACTGAATTTTATAAATATCCACACAGATTTTATATTTTTTATCAGAAAAGATCGAACAAATATTAAAATTTTCATATACTTAAAATATTAATTATGTTCAGTTTTACAATAATAAAATATCATAATAGTACTACTTATAACTCAATTGTCCAGAAAACCTAAATTATTTAAATGATTTTTATCCAAAATATTTGTAATTACTCAAATTATGATTATCTAACATTTTTACAGAAAAACTAATATGATCCGATATTTTTTTCTCAAAAATCTGGATTATTTATATTTTTTAAATTAACAAAAATTATTTGAAAACAAGAATTAAATCAGAATAGATTTAAATCTTTTTTTATATTAGTCGGTTTCTAATTTTATTATCCTAACTAAAAATTGAAGCAAAAGCGAACTTAAACCAAACTAACTCATAAATAACTAAATAGATCCTAAATTTCTAGAACCGAAAAAAAAACCAAAAAAAATCATATGAAAACCGAAATGTCCATGGTTAACCGGACGATTTTTTGGTCGGATTGCAGATGTGACCCAAGCCAACTTCAACTTAACCAGACCAGTATGTTTGATCGAACTAGAAAAGATTTCTTGCTTGTCCATAGAAGAGGTTGCTGGGTACAATACAAACTCTCACTCGCAAATGTCACAGCTTCACCTCCACCGTCTCTCTCTCCCACAATCCTCCACTCGTTTCACAACACCGCCTTTACCTTCCTTACATCGCCGCCGTGCAGCTCCGTCGCTGAAACCACTTACCAAAAAAAGCTTCCCACTTTCCTCAACTTCCGAGCTCAATTCATCGAAAGCCACAACCTTTCGCCGACCCATCATCTCAAAATCTCGTATTACTTGCAGGTTCAGCCAATCCGGTGAGACTCTGTTTTCTCTGTCCTTTCAGTGAGTAAAAGTTTGGATTTTTTTATATGGTAATGTTTGATGCTAAGTCTTGTGAGTCTTTAGTTTGTACAATGTTTTGGTTTTGTTCCTTTAAGTAAATGTAGTTACTGTTTGATGTGTTGTTGTTTCAGACATAACTCCACAACTTGAGCTAAGTAAAGGAGGAGATCAAAGGAAGCCACAAAAGAGAGCCAATGGCATCTTCTGGATTATACTTATCAATCTTGGCATTTATGTAGCAGATCACTTCTTTCAGGTATTGAAGTTTTAAGATTTGGTTTATAATAAAGCATAGGTTGCCTTTGAGATTTGTATCTTCTTTATTCAATAGGTTCGAAGCATCAAATCTCTCTATCTGTATCACAATTTTCCTGCTTGGTACCAGTTTGTGACTGCAACGTTCTGTCATGCTAACTGGTGAGAGACCTCCATGCTTTTTCTTTCATCTGAGTTTGTCTGTAGCTGATGCTAACCTTCCTGGTTGTTTGTTATTATTCTAGGAACCATCTCTCCAGCAATCTTTTTTTCCTGTACATCTTTGGTGAGACTTTCACATAGTTTTGGACTCAATAGTTTATTCTATTCAGAGCTAATGGAGAATGTGACTTTGGTTAATAGGAAAGCTTGTTGAAGAAGAAGAAGGGAACTTTGGTTTGTGGCTGTCTTACTTGTTCACTGGTGTTGGAGCTA